TTCTAAATCTTATGAAACTGAACTGGTTACAGCATTTTATGCCACAGTGGTTTTGCTCACTAGGGTTAATGCCTGTTGTTATCTGTAGCCTTGAATTCATAGTAAGCAGGTGCACTTGTATTCAGTGACACTATTCCTTGCCCTGGGCAAGTGTCTGGAATATGGTGAATTATTCTGGGAAATGATCACTATRTATTTAACTGTTTTTACACACTTTCTGGTCACTCTTAGACAGCAATAAAGACTTCTACTCTGTTCACCAAAGGAAGATAAACTTTTGGTCTGCTCATGTATAACTTAATTGATAAACATACCCAGGCACCCATAACAAACTGCATGACTAAAATCTCCAGTATTTATCAGTATGCCTTTCTCTACTCTGTTAGAATGGCCTGGGACAATTATTTTTGGGCTTATGTAGGCCACAATAACAAAACACTTTCAAATCCAGATGAGCAAATCTTCAACCAGCCYTCTCTGAACTTGTTCCTACCTCTTCCAACTCCCAGGCAGGACTACTAGAGCTGTTTGATTGCTCATAACAGGAGATCCAGAAAATGATCCAACCCTTTCCTTCTAGTAGCATTTTATTTGCTGCTGCTTAGATTGATACCCAGATCTGAACAAATAAAACAGTTTGTGCAAAATAAATCCTGACTGCTTTAGCCTCTGGAGGGTTAATGGGATCAAATGTCTGGAGTCAAACCTGTGTGGTTAATACACTTAGGCCAGATCTGCCCAGTTACATTAACTTAACCAGCCATTCCCTTAGAAGTTGTCAGGTCTTTTAAGAGCATGACCTGTATGTTTTCAGCATATTAATAAACCTCTGTTTAATGCTCAGGGAACCATATTTTCATTTGAACAGCGGATAGAGTTGAATGAAGAATAAGTTATTTTGCCAGAAAGCTTATTTGTAATTGGTAATGTTTCTGGAAACTTTTAATTGAWATTTCTGCGATATTTGTGACTTCTTGTTTTGATCTGTCAATTATTAGCTGCATTTTTTTTTTAATAAAATGAGACTTACAACTAAGTAAGGAAATCAGGTTCATGAAAGATATTTTTTTTTAGCTCTTTCTCATATGTGTACAACCTAACTCATAGAAGGTTAGAGGCCTCTACTTCAGAGAAATCAAGCATATTTGATTGTTGGTATAGAATAATCTTATGTCAAAAAAAGATCCATTCAGTAATGTAGAAACAGTAACAGTACTATAATCATATTTCTACTTGCTCAATTCTTTGTAACTTTTTTTTTTGTATTTTTTAAAATGAAAACTACTTAGGAAAATGTTCTATTTCTTTCCTCTCTGTGAGAGAATGGATTTTACCTAAGCACATGTATAAAGTCAAAGGAGCTTATCTTAYAGGAGAGAGAAAAGTTTAGTAATTTCAAAATGCAAACTAATAATAATAATAATAAAGAATAAATAAATAAAGCTATTTCAAAAGTTTAGAACAACTTCCTCCTAAAAGTAAGTGCTACATTTGTGGTTTCTAGCTCAAAKTCATTGGCTCTTTTGAGGTGGAAGAAGATGCTGCTTTAATATCTAGAAACTCTTATTAGAGGTGCCTAGGTGTGCACATATATCCTGTCTAACTAAACTGTTTGGAATTTAAATTTTCAAATGCCCATAAGTAAACTGGAGTGTGGTTCCATCCTATTTTAACAACTACATTTTTAGCCATGGACCACAATGCTGAAGTTTCTGCATTTGCCTGTTTTTTTTTTACAGGAGACTATTTCTAGTCCTAGTGTACCATCTTTCTCAATAATTCTTCAACTTCACAACTAAAGCTGGGTAGAGACAACAAGAAATAATATAYTTTTTATGTTTCTATAATAATAATTTCTAATAAAAGAACTAAAATATAAGAATATATACAGCCGTCAAGTAATTGGATTTGTCTGTAAAGGTTAAACTAACCCAGAAAAAATTCAACAGTACTGTCAGCCATAACCACTGTCCTAGAAAAAATGAAGCCAAATATATTAAGCTTATAAGAAATTGTTATTAGCCTTTTGAATATATTTTTGTGAAAATGTTTTGCAGTTTTAGCATATTYTGTATATACATTGTGGAAGACTGCAAAGTCCTTTACAGAGTGGTCTTTCACTACCCCAAGTGATAATTGTTTTTTTTTTTTTTTTGGACAATATAAAATATTCACAAAATTCCAAATATTAAAGGTAAATATACATGGTAAGACTAGAGTTGGAGAAAAATAATTTCAATCAAGAGGTACTAGGAAAGCATTTAAAATACTTTCTGAARATTTCTGAGACTGATATTATCCCTATTGCATCTGCCAGCCTACTGTCATTACTTATATCCTTATTACCTTGCTTTCAATCTACATTTCTAGGAAGATTATCTTTGCTTTCTTTGGGCTTATAATTATCACTCTACTTTTCTCCCTCTCTTCATTACAAAATATACTTACCTCTCCCTCTCCTCTATTTTCTATACATAATTGTATTGTGCTGCCAATGAACTTAYTATTTATGCAGTTGCAACATTTCTATTACAAATATTTTTTGTGTGTTAATGTTTTAAYATTCATAAAATGTACTAGTAAATAAAACAGAAAATTGAAGGTCCATGCACTGAAAATAAGTATGGGGGTTTTTGAAAAGCTCTCATGAAAGCTCTTGACACAGTTCCAGTGGGCTAAGTTCAAAACAAGATGACTGAAAAATTATGCACAACAATATTTCTCTTCATATGCATATCACCAGAGTGAAATTTGAGAGAGCATCCCTGCAAAATAGGTGTGAAGAATCAAACTCTATTCTTATATGATTTTTCTGGAGATGGCAGTAGTGTGCTACATGACCAAGTGCAGTTACTTATTTGTGGGGGTCATTCAGATACCACAAGCACAAGAAAAGCCACGGAGGGAGGATAGTTGACCAAGCTGTGGGTAGCATTGTTGCATGAAGTGGAAGGCATTGCAATGTAGAAATGGTCCTTTAAGTGAAAATGGAGAATACTCCAAATTCTAAATCTTTGGCAGTGATTTTGCAGATCACTAATACTGCTTTTATTTTCCAAACTGCTCAAAGTCATTTGAGTTTCTGGTCCTTTGGACCTAGCCTYAACAGCAGCCATGAGGGAAGGAGCATGTAGGCAATGTTTTAGAGTGCTTTTAGCTCTGGAATTATTGTTCCTGGAACATAAATGTGGTGTTATACATTTCTTAGGGAAAGCTATTTAAAGAAATCTGCACCTTGTCCTTTRAGAAAGAGGTAGTAAGTTCTATGAGTCCTCACAAGGACTCATCTGAATATTTGYCTTATTTCCCAAAGCTCTAATTTCTAATGAGCTTATGAGGTTTAGGCACAGGAGTAAATTTCACTGCACCTAAGGAGAAAAGCTCTTGACTGTAGTCTTTTTTACAGAGCTTTCAGAGAAATTCTATACAGACTTGGGCCCAGGCCATTCAACTTCTTGAATTTTACCCTATTTTAAGAGAAACCTGCAAAGAGAKAAAATAACAGCTCTGAGAAGAACACAGCTGCCTGTCACCAAGCAGACATGGTGACAAAATTCAGTATAATCAAGGCCAAAACCAAACTGCCTGGATGAAAGTCTGAGTTCTCCAGTCATCCAGAGATGGTAATGAGTTATTTGGGGATGTTGCTATGTAAAAGCTTATGCCTATATCCAGGAAGGGCTTTAGAATACTTCTTTCATCAGTCCCGCTTAAGAAATACCTCATTTCTGGAGCTGGAAACAGCTAGCAGGCAAGGATGAGAYTCCTCATCTTATGAAAGGAGGTAAAGGTCTTAAAAATGCATATAGGAAGTGAAAAAAAACTCTCAAAATCTTTCACAGATGAGGCAAATGAAGTWAGTTTGAATTTCATGCTTTCACATGTGAGTGGCTATGTCATCCTGTTGAGGATACTGAGCTCTAGAGGAACTATTAGCCCTTCATCTATTTCACACACACCAATACATTAAATACATTTTTTGGGGRAAAAAWAAAAAGAGGATAAGGCTGACACCTCTTGATAATCTTATTGACTGTATAACTAGATGATTTTTTCCCTAYATTTCTTATATATTTTCTTCAAATTTAACATGAAGGATTGTCCATAAAAAGATGAATGGTCCTGGTCTTCAAGCCCACTTGGTCCCTGGATACCCTGTTGTGACTGACAAAATATGTCGTTGAATAGAAGCTTGATCCAGTTCCAATTAACTTCAGGGAAAACTGGATTGTAATTTCAGCACCAACTATGATGATAGATTCTTCAATAARAGCATTTACATATTGAGAATTTGACGGATAGAAAATTCAAATCACRTGGGCTGGTAGCACACCTTGGTATTATCAATATGAGTTCAATTTGAAGCAAAATGCACCTAGTTTTGAAAAGCTGTTCTGTCACCAATATCTCTAGCCTTCTAACACATTTTCATTTTGATTTAATAGAACTTGAACATAAGTTTTATGTTTCAGCATAGCAATTTTCATGTCGAAAAGATTTGTATTATACATCCTACTTGCTCCATTCTTGTCTGCTGTAAAAATTCAACGATAACTAAGTATTTTTTTTCTAGAAGATTCATAGGTAGTCCTAATTTCTGAATTCTGCACTGACACAAGGCAAAATGTTCAACAGTATCTAGACATCATTCCTTAAGAGATATTCTTTCTTTCTAGGCATATGTATAACTCAATTTGACATTATTAATAGGAGTCTCACATATGAAATATAGGTGTAGACACWATTATTGCAGTAGTCCTATTGGTCTGCTATGAACACTTCTTTGAGATTTTCAGGATGATAACGAAACAATCAAGATTTCTTCCAAAAGAGCAAGCAATACAAAAATATYATAACTCAGCAGTCTTATTTAACAATTTTGTTAAAGTACAATATACATAGTTAGACCAGTGACAGAGCCCATGGCACAGACATGCTAGTCAATTCTTAACATACATGTCACAAAATATTTGCCCTTTATAATAAGGCAACAGACCAACCTTTTCTTTTCATGGAATGTTCCACTTCACCTAAACCAAGAGAAAAGAAYTAAAATCAGGTAACAGGTACAAAATTTTTTTCTCCCATCACTTCATTTTATTTTGTAAATGTATTCACCTCTTTATATGCTAAATGGCAAGCATTCTATTCCAAGATTTTGCATTTTCATAACACACCTCTTCCAACATAGAAGCTTTCCAGGGTCTAGGAAGATAAGTTCAGTGTGCAGTAGTAACCAAGGAAACATTCAAACCTGTGGCTACACATTTACAGTTTGCTTGATCCATGTTTTAAGGATAGACACATGGTTCARTTTTAACTCCCAATTATTAAATATATATACAGGTAAGCAAGACTGTAAATAAAGTRAAAAGATGTTCAGTTTCAGCAGGAGTCAGAGCTCTTACATGCCACATTTTTCACTCTGCCTCCACATATGACCATGAAAAGACTCAATCTGGATGACTATGTAGAGCATGCAGCCTCAGCTGCATTGATTGCAATGCACAATGTGCATGGAGGGCACACAAATTTACTTTTTATGATATARTGCAGTAAGTTACCTACTGCTAGTCTTGGTGGAGTGCGCCTGATCACCTCTGACTAAAAGCTGGTAGAATTGAGGTTTCCAAATACTTCTTAATATTTGGAATTCTAAGTATTCCATTCAGAGCTTTTTTTTTGTGCATCAGGTATTTTATGACCTTTCCTACTTGCATTAATACTTATCCACTCAAGCACTTGAAAACTCACAGATGCTTCAGGAGCTATGAAATTAGAAAAATGAACACTTTTCAAGTTTAAGCAAGTTCTCCATATTTCACCTTTTCCATTTCTCAACTGTGGGAGAGACTGGCTGCCTTCTGATTGTAAATAGTATCTCAGAATAGGATGCCCAATTCATGAACCCACAYGTAGCAACTTATCTATTACTATTCACATACAGTGCTGAAACAAAAAGCTCATGCACACATTTAAAAGATAGAAATTTGATAATTCCTCATTTCATGAAGAAGCGGGTAGAAATCAGTTTCAGGACATGTTGCATTTTAATTATCTTGTGTAATAGTCAAATAAAATTTGAAATAAACCACTGTGAAATGAAGATGTTGCTGCTACAGTCATCACTTGTCAAAATGACCAATATGACATGACATGATGATCCACTGCTGCTCTGCTCATACAAGAGAACTAATTTTCTCACAAGAGAAGGATGGTTATTTCCAAACCTGAAATGCTAGCACCTTAGTTTCATTTATCTGTTGGTATCAGATGAAGAATGTTACTATAATGGCAAAACTATAATTTTTACTAAACTGAATTATTTGCTATTTGTCATCCAAACTCTCCTTAGTCCAGTCAAAATGCTACTTTTTTTTTTTTTTTTTTTTTTTTTTTATTGCCAAGATATTGACCCATAAGCAATATATCAAATAAAAAAAGTTCTAAGTTTCTGGGTTTATTTCATGCATTTATCAGAGTTCTCTAGATTCTTACATATTAAAAGAAAACAGCTATTGCTATTCTCTGAAGCAATACCCTGATGCATATTTTGGTTGCRTCTTTTGAAGTCTTGTGTAAATTAGCACTCTTTACTTCGAGATGTACTAATGGTAATATTTAATTCTGACAGCTTTTCTGTAATGGTACATTAAACACAAGATGAAAGCTAACAAAGAGACCAATTTACTGATTGGAATAGCCAGTAAATGCTTTATTAGCAGCAACGTTCACTTTTCATTTTGTTTAACCTTCTCCGCTGTGAGGTTAAAAGCTGAGTAAGCCAACATAACGCATGTAAAACAGCAGTTAGAGCAGTTACAGAAGTCTTTACATTATGAATACCTTCRTCACTGTCATCATCGTCACTCCATACGATGTCAGACAGTAAAGAAATAAAGCCATAAATCCAATCACTGGATTCTTCCAATGCCTCATGAATGATTCTCAGTGGTTCTGTGCTGAGCTTGTGATAAGATCTTCCTGAGTGCAGAGTTTAAAAGAAAAAAGGTTTGAAAAAAGTACTCCTCTGGTGATTAAAATTATTCTTCATTACATACAAGATTAATTACACTACTCTTTTAACAAAAACACGATTTTTTAAAGTTATTTTCTATTTTCCAAGAGYTCAAAGACTGCTCTCTTTTCTGTGCAGGACTGACAGGTATAAAATGTGTTTTACTGTAGTTATAGGTAGTAGAGTGATTCAAAACCCAGTGAATAATTTGGCCTCATAGTCTTATCCAAGTTCTGCCAGTTCTGAGACTTGCTTGGGTTGAAGCTAAATACAGTTTTGATTTCATCAAATATTCACCCTCTCTCATAATGTCTTCATTTCAGACCTCTTATTTTTCCTTACCCAAGTTCACCATCTCTTGACATCTATTCAGGATACACTGTTATCTGTCTCCCTCTCCCATCACATCTGATCTTATAGCTCTTGCTTTTCACAAATCCTGGCTGAGGAAATTCCTGAGAACAGACTAGTCGCATCATTTCCCTGGAGTGAATGTGAAGGATGAGAAGGAGAAGGCTATGTATATGGGCCTTTGTTATCTTGAAATGTATACCAAATACTCCCTAGGAAGAGAGACAAGGATTACTTGTCATTCAGCCAATGCTGTCATTTACCATAATTGGAATGGCAGCCTGAATGCTTCCCATATCTGTGTGAAGGTTTCCCAAAATTGTACATAATCAAAGTAAATTAAGGATATGATTTGAATCATTGGAATAGTCCTGTTCCTGATGATTTCAACAGAAATATAGCCATTGAAACTCATAGTAGCAAAATGAGAACCATGGCTCTGTTTACCACCATCTTTCTGTGTGAACATAGTTGTATAAGAAATTAAATATGAGCCTCTCAGAGCTGCAGTATTCTAACTCACAAGGTGAATCTTGGCAGTAACTAGTAGTCGTCTGACATGAACTTGTGTATTATAAAGACATGCAGAGTGCAGGCTTGAAGCAACTTCTTTGATGGCATCCATATGAATGGTTATTTTCCAAAGTGAAGAAAGAAAGATCTACAAGGAAAGTAACTTTATTTGAAACATAAAGAAGATCTATCTAAATAATTCCTTTTATTTTTTAACAATTAATCTCAAATAGAAAAGACTAGATTGACTTTTTTGTTGTTGTTTTGCAACTGCTTCTTAATAATCTASATTGAAGAAATATTTTGGTTAATATATTTTTTTGAGATTATAATATTGTTATACTTGCCACCAGACTATAAAGTTAAAAAAAAACATTTTGAGTAGTGTATCATGGAGTATTTAATTTGCTTATTGTAAGGAATATATTTACTTGCATTGACCTCATCCACTGAAATCCAGGGGGGCTATTTTTCAACTAAATTGCCAAAGATGTCCTTCTAAACAATTTACAAGCAAAATAAAGACCTATACTAAGGCAATTAAAAAATAAATCTGCAACTCAACTCCACATGTCACTTGTACTTTATTTTAATCTAGAGTTGCTAAAGCTACTCTAGAGGGGAGCTAATAGAATTTACATTGCCCAAAGGGTCTTAGTATAATTGRCATTTTGATTCACAAACAGGGATGGCTTAACTTACAATAACTTCCATGATTTCCACTTTGGTTACCCACTCACACTTTACTCATTAGCTGCTTAGGGATAGCTCAGCTGCTTTTACAGTCACTGTTTATGAACTACTACTGCAAACTGAATAATTTTTTTTTCAACTCATTTAATATYCTGGGCTATAAGCTAGAAGTTTAGGAACTGTGACCCATGTAGCAGAACTGTTCCTTCAAGCAGGCATGGGAACTGCTCAGAGAAGCGGAAGATCAAGAGGAGGAAGTTACTGCAACCACCCAAGGCAAGCCACCTTTGCTGATAGAATCAGAGTCCTCATTCTCCTATCCTAATCTTGACTTCATAACAACTTCATAGCAAACTATGAAAATGGATTAGAAATTGTAAGTGACTAGAGGCAAAATTCTCAAGTCACACTTCTGCTTAGAAATCCAAATCGCAAATCCTGTTTAACATAAAAAGTTTGTAAAACGTAAGTTTAGGACTTCAGAGATGACACCTTTAATGGTATTTGCAAAACTGAATTTCATACAAAAAAAAAATGCAAGGTCCACTTGCAGTGTGATCAGGTGCCACAGGCTTGGCAAGTAGCATTTCTGTTTGCAGACATTTTGATAAGCATTTGTTATGACTCCAGTAATTCATGAAAGTAATACCGGGGTGATGATATGTCCAAAAAATACATAAGAACACCATGCTAGGTGTTTTTGAAATAGAAAGAATTACTGTTTATATACTTCCTTTTTTTTCTTTTTTTTTTTCTGCAGATCTTTTTAACTTTCTCAGGTTGCCCTTTCACTAGCAGAACAAATTATACATGAAATAAAGGAAAGGAAGCAATTCAGGGTAAAACAGAGAGAAAGATGTCATTTTCCTCACATATGTGCAAAGACAGACAACCATTTCCAATATGTGATTGGGAGAATGCAGATTTTCATTAAAAAGTTCAAGCTTCACTTTTTGGATTTTATGTAGAACTGTGTGGCTTTTTTTTTCTTTACATATATAAAGGGTATAGTATGCTCATATCTTATTAGAATACTCTGGGAATCAAGCATATTCAAACCGGATTAACTGTGCACTACATAGCTCTTTCTTTTTTTCTTTTCTTTGCAGGCCATAGAATACAAATTATTTTAAAACTAGCTGACAATATACTTTCGTTGCTCACTCACCACACAGCTATTTATATCAGCTGTATCTACATAAAACATAAAAAAAAAATCAGATCCTTTTCTCCTTTCTTCTCTAAATGTGTCCCCCCAACTATGTAACATCTACGTAAAGGTAACTAGTACGTAAATATCTATCAATTACATAGAGCCTTCATGGATCCAGAGTATTTCTCAGGTAGATATGCCCTCTGAAGATCTTCCTTTTACTGAACTGATAAACAAGGACTGAGGCTAGTGTTTCTCTTAGGCAAAGTAGTAGTAAAATAAAAAAGCCATCTGTGGATGGA